TAAGTCGTTATAACGAGAAAACAACTCTCGTTATGTCGATATAACGAGAAAATAAGTCGTTATAACGAGAAAACAACTCTCGTTATGTCGATATAACGAGAAAATAAGTCGTTATAACGAGAAAACAAGAAGGAAAAAAAAAATAATGCATGGCCGCTTAGAACTTCCGTAAGAAAGAGACACTCCTGAGAGAACTATCCCACCGGGAGTGCCAACCCCAAATAACACATTACACTCTTAAATAATCAAACTAATGATCATTTAACAGGGTGGCAACCAATCAAAATCTTCTACGCTCTGCTCCAATAGTATCAGGAGACTCAGGGTCGTCACAGTGGATTAAAAATATTGCACATAAAATAAAAAAAATTATAGCATATTCAAGAGATAACGATTTTGGGGTTTTCGTAATAAAAATTTTTTTTAAACTTTTTTAAGACTAAAACTGTGGGTCCTATTAGGGTTAAAAATATAAAAACTGAAATCAACCCAAAATGTATTGATTATATTACAATCACAAAATAAAAGTGCAGCTGTTTTTTTTTTCCCAACAAGACCAAATTTCTTGCACTGCATAGAACATCAACACAACTGAGCTTCACAGATGAAAGTGCAGTTCATATAGGTGTTCTTTTTCCAGAGATATGCCGGACCATGAAATGTGTTTGTGTGTGTTCCTGCTCCTACACTTACAAAATCTACTGTATAAACTGCATGCTGGCGCTACTCGTGTATGGACCCATGTGTAATGGCTTGCTGTTCAGTAGTGGTATAATAGTATATTTAAATTAGCCGTTTTTTTCATAGGCCATCATATATGCCCTGGCTGTCCTAAGGAATTTGTCCTTGCAGGAGGCTGAGCAGGTCTTCCTTTCTGGTCCGGATTGTCATTACAGGTCAGAGTAGAATATGAATTATTTTTGCATAATGCCCAGTGCACCCTTTTGTTACTGATATTTCTGTTAACCCAAACGTGATTGTTCTCTTATAACTATTTCAGTGACGTGGAAGAATTTAATAGAATGATTGACAGTAACACTTTCTATGAAGCCTGTATTTATAAATCATTATAAGGGTATTCTTAAAGTCCCTGTAAAGTCAATTCTGAGATTTTTTGGGCGGGGCTAAAAAGGGGGTTCGATGACGCACTGGAGCCTCCGAGCCATGGCCCCTCCCCTAACACTATAACTAGAGCACATTCGCATCAGTTCACCCGCTCAATCACGAATTGTCAGTACTGTTAGTAACACACAGCCTACACAGTTTGCTAGCTAGCTATGCCTTTGTCACTGAAATGCGTATTTCCTGGTTGCGATAACATACAAAACAGCTCGGTGTCCTTATTTATATTTCCTAATAATGATTATATCAAAAGGAGAGCTCTTCAACTCCACTTAAGCGGAAAGCAGCATCACCTGATAGACCACCAAAGCATCCTCTCTTGGAGTTACCCTCTTTTCGGGAATCTTTAATTAGTTTCAATGTGGCAGATCCTGATGACTCCACCTACCTCCCCAGCATAGATATTGTCATCCATTTCATTTGTCAATTCTATATTATGAACAATCATACAGAAAATGTTATCTGAACAATTTAGAGCATATTCTGTTTCTCAGCTTGTGTGTTGCAATAATGATATTCAGCAATCCACACTAAAGCAGTCAGAAGACCAGCAACTATGTGTAGTTGAAGATGGGTTTCAAATGAAAGGAAAAACCAACATCCAGCCTCCAGAACAGCTTCAGTGCTACTTGCCAACTCTGTGGAACTCCATTGGATGGATGAACACCATTCCTCCATAAAATATTCCCTCATAGGAATATTATGGAATCTTATCATAGCATTTTATTCACATCCTTTTCACACTTAATATAACAGGGTTAGGGTTAGGCTGTTAGTTCGATCTGTGACTGTACAGACAACTAATAATAATAATAAACATGGTAAAGTGGCAAAATATGTTTTGTTGTATGTTATTTATTTATAGCCTAACTTTATTTGGCTAAGTTAGATTACGCTAGTTACATATTGCTAACTTGCATATAAGGGAGAGAGAGAAAAAACTTACCATTCTGTTGCAGACCGAGAGGGACGAGGTTGATTCTCGGGTAGCCGGTCCTCTGAATCGAATTCTGGCTCTGGAGGCTCAAACATGTATGGTTTTGTAAATCCAATTAAGCTGCTAGCAGCATCCATTCAGGCTGTAGCGGTATTTGACAGTTAAGAGGCGGCAGCTTTCCCGCAAGTAGGCGTGGTTTCAGCGCAAAAGCGGACACGCCCCCAGCGTTTGAGAGCAGAGGATACCGCCCATTTTTTCAAGATTTTGATCACTTATTTTATTTACTTGGCGGATTTTTTCATCATTCAAATTTGGCTGAGTAGTTAATAATACATTTTTCTGTGATGTGACAAACTCAGAACACATATTTAATATTGCCTTTATAGGGACTTTATAAGGCATTATAATGAACGAATAATGCATTACAAAAAACCTTATAATATGTTGTATCATCTAATAAATAATCATAAGAACAGTTTGAATGTATTATAATACTTATTTGTGGTTAAGAATATGATGATTTATGTCAAAAAATGAACACGTTGCTGTGACATTTTATGTGTCGATGAACATGGAAGAAGATGAAAATGACGAAAACCACTATTTAATAAATCCACACAATAAAGGTAAATCCACATAGAGGAAGGTTGGTGACACACATGAACGTTGACATTAACAATACCTGATAAAATCAAACTGAAACTACAGGAACTTAAGTACACAGACCAAACGAGGATAATTAACTAGACACACCTGAACTAAATGAACTCAAGTCAATAAACATGACAACTAACTAGATGCGAAACAAAAACAAAGTGATGGAGGGAGGAGCCATGGTTGAGGAAGGGCTGACGAATCCAGGGGGCCGACCGACGGCGGCGGAGCACGTGGGAGAGGAGCCCAGGGCAGAGATGGAGAGCCGATGAGCCAGGGTGATGGGGAGGATCCGGAGGGCCAAGGTGGAGTGACAGAGGTCCAAGGTGGAGCCAGAGGGAAGGAAGAGCCTGACAGAGACAGAGGGACGAGGCGAAGCCGGAGGAGTGGAGTCCCAAGGTGGCGGATGGTCGATTACTGACCAAGGTGGAGCCGGAGGGATGAGGGAGCCCGGCGGAGCAAGTGGACTGATGGGCCACGGTGGAGATGAGGGAGCTAGGAGCCATGGTGGAGCCGCTGGGTCGACGAGCCGAGGCGGATTCCAGGACTCGGAGGCTGGAGGCAGAGACAAGGGATCTTCCAGCCATGACGCCGATGGAGACTGGCAGACCACACCATTGATGGTGGGCTGACGGGCTGACAGGATGCAGCGGCAAAGGGGGAGAAGATGGCAGATGACTCATAAGAGGAGGTGGGAGAGGGAGGCTGGGTGGGAATTTGTGACCGCCAGGGCATTCTGGGATGGTGTGTGCTGCCCATACACACCAAATAGCGATTCCCATAACAGAGCACAGTGGCTGAAAGGACAGACAGGAAGTTCAGGGCAGACAGACAGTTCATAAATGTCTTCCTTGGCCATAACAGGGCAGGCAAACAGTTTCTCAGAAGAAAAGTCTATTAAATCCTCAGGGTCCTGCCTCAGCTCACCCTCAGAGGTGTAACAGTGGACAGGGCTTTCCTTCGTGCCCTTGTACTCCACTGTGTAATCCTCCGTGGTGGGTTTCGTTGCCGGCTCACGCACCTGGTCAGACACTGTATGAGGCTCTGGCTCCGAGGCGATCTTCGGCTCTGTCACTCCTCTTAGTGATGGCTCGCTGGTCGCGGTGGGCGCTGGCTGGAACTCCGGGGTGATGATTGTCGGTGCTCTGGGTCTGGCTACGAGACGTCTGCGAAGTGTGGCTGGATGCTGATGTTGCAGTCGGCATCCGCTTCGTCCGCTGTGAGTGTGGATCCATTCACCCACAGTACTAAACTGATGTAATCTTTCAGGGTCGAGAACGGATCTCCTCTGGGCATGTCCAAACAGATATGGTGTGACAGTTGCATTCACTTAAGTTACAATGGATTATATTTCACATAGTTATAATGTATTATAAGTGTCATATCTTGCCATTGTTTAAGATCTGCACAATAACTTAGTACATCTTATTAGTGTTTTTACTGTAAAATAACAAATACAAAGTCATTTCATGAAAACATCCAAAAGGCTTGACTTGACTTGATCCTTAGCAGGACTCGACTTGACTTGCTTGAGGTGAGCCACTGACTTGACTTGCTTGATTTGTTTGTACTGTGACTTGAGACTTGCTTGAGACTTGAAAATGTGTGACTTGCCCCCACGTCTGGCTCATGGGCACCCCAACTGGAGATCGTCGAATTTTTTTTATTTTATTTATTTTATTTCATATAATTTTATAGAATTTGTATTTTGCTATAAAACTGACAGATTTTAAAAGCTGAGACTTTGTTTTATAGGCTATTAAAAATACCAAAAGCACAAAGCTTATTGCTGTTATTGGGTGGCTGGCGCACTATACATAGGCCTAATGAATGCAATTGAAGACGTGATATTATTTCCAAGCATACTGTCCCTGCATGGTATTTCTGCAATATACTCTCAAAATATTATAACTTTATTTTGCTACGATTTAATTCTTTGACTTTATTCTCAAAACATTTCGACTTTATTCTCGAAATATTTCGATTTTATTCTTGTAATTTCAACTTTATTCTTGAAAAATGTCGACTTTATTCTAAAAAAATATTTCGACTTTATTCACGTAATTTTGACTTTATTCTCAAAATATTACGACTTTAATCTCGTAATTGTAGATTTTTTTTAACGTGGCACTAAAACGCCGTCGTAGTACCGACTACGTATGTAAAATGACTATTTCTCAAATAAAGAGCACATGCTCATAGAATGACGTTCATTGGGAGTGATCTGTGTCTCTCTTACACACACACACACACACACACACACACGTAAATTCCTCGTATAGCGCTGTTGGGGAAAGAGAATGAGAGGGAAGGAGTGGTGAAGACTCAACTTCTGTCAACAGAAGGAAACGCTGCCTTTTTACGTCGGTAACAAAACTCTCGACCTGTTTTCGGCGTCTATTATTCACTCTGGTCAGCTGATCGACTCTGGACTTTATCTGTGATTAACAATATCTAATGGGATTAAAGAGGTTCAAGTTACCGGTGCGTACAAGCGAACTGTCGCAGTCCGTTATATTAAATTGGATCAGACATGTAAGAGAACGCCTAAACTAACTTTCTGACGGATGGAGCGTAATTTTATAAAACGTCCTACGTTTTGAGATCCGCGCACCCAGCTGAAGAAAAACGAAGGGAGTATAGAAATACATAGAATAATATTTTAACTAGCTACTTGATATTTGTGGAGTTGTTTTTAGAGATGTGCTATTCTTGCATATCCGTTTGCCACATTTGAAGACGCAAACGAATCGAAACCGTCGTGTTTCCTTTAAACAAGGCCAACTCATATAGGCTATTATCCTTTACATGTGTGGGTTTTCCCTCAAACTCGACCATGAGTCAGTTTGACTGACTTAAATACTGTTGAAGTTAAGCAGAAGGATAAATCCACCCATTACAGAATGCTGGAGTGAGGGTACTGAAGATGGCATCGGCGATTTTTGAGGGCACATCCCTGGTGAACATGTTCGTGAAGGATTGTTGGGTTAACGGGATCCGCAGGCTCATCATTAGAGGAGACGAAGAGGAGTTCTTTGAAATAAGGACTGAATGGTCGGACAGAAATATACTCTACTTGCACAGAAGCTCCTCAGATTTGGGAAGACTTTTAAAAAGACTCCTGGAGTGTTTCCCCGAAGACAGGCGAGATTTATTAAAGTCCCCCCTGATAGAAGGTAGGTGTCAATTGTTATTAAATTGTACTCGAATAATCTATTCTATTCTATTATACAAATCATTACTGTACTTAAGTACAGTTTTTCGTTTACTCGATTTTATATTTTTGTTTACTTTTACTTGCTACATTTTAAAGAGAAAAATGCTTTTGCAAATCACAACATTTCTGCAGAACTATTCGCCTCATCTGCACTGAATAGCGCAATAAACATCTCTACTCGACGTGGACTACTACTTCCCTACACTTGAAAATCTGCGGTTATTATCTCAAGGAGCTATTTTAGCCAGATGAAAATTACTTTTGTTGATGTAATGTAGTAAGGTTTATTCAGTCATATCAAAAAATATTTACTCTAGAACAGGGACGTGCACAGACATTTTGAGGGGCAGGGGCTCAAGTGGAAAAAAGGGCACCTCTCATATTTATTTAAATTTTTTCCTAAACAAAACGTTAAATACGTTAGGGGTGTGTGATATTGCCAAAAAAATATATCTCGATATTTTCTGGTATTTTATCGATAACGATAATTAGACAACATTTTGCTGAGTGTGTTATTGTGCTGATATCTTAAGGACTACCGTGGACAGCTGACTCCTAAAGTTTTTGATATTCTGCATATTCTGTGTGGTGATCAGTTCACAGCAGTGATAGAAATGAACCTTTTCCAATAAGTTTAAATGGATTTTTACCTTTTATGGGCATTTTTACCTTTTATAAAGCCATTTTTTCTAAAAGTGTGCATCATCTTTTCAGTCAAATTCTTAACTTGAATCAGTCAGTTAAAATTATAAGTCTTTTTAAATTTGGGCTGTTACCAAGCAAATGAAATCAGTATTGACAAAATCCATCTTTGCAATGCAGAGGAAACACAGAAGCTGCATTAGAAGTGGCATTTAGATGCATTTACACACTGTTTAATGCAGGTCATGAATGTATTTGACCTGCAGTTACAAATGCATTAATACTGTTTTGATATTTTAAACATAAAATGTTGAATACTGATATTTGATTTTTTTTTTCATGAAAATATATTTTCAATGTGAAATTAAAACCATCAGTAGGTGGCAGCAAGTCACTGTTAATAACAGTCACTGCGATTGAACCGAATCATTTAATTCAATTCAAGTTTATTTGTATAGCGCTTTTCATGATACAAATCATTGCAAAGTAACTTTACAGCAAATTAAGTTTTTACAATATTTAGTGGTAGCTTATCAGTGGTGACTGTCAGTTAATGTACATATGGCAGAAATGTATGGAAAAATCAATTAAATATAAGATAATGCATTTATCCCATCCAAAGTGCGCACACACAGCAGTGTGCGCACACCGTGAACACACACCCAGAGCAGTGGGCAGCCATTTTTGCTGCGGCGCCCGGGGAGCAGTTGGGGGTTCGGTGCCTTGCTCAAGGGCACCGCACCTTCAGTATGGTATTGAAGGTGGGAGAGAAATTGAGATGACTCCCCATTTAAATGAACAAGGTGGTAGCGATCGGACAGGTAGGATCTAAACCATCTTAAAGCCTGCCCTTGAATACCTGTATAGTTTTGTAATCGATCTAGGAGTATGTCATGATCTGTAGTGTCGAACGCAGCACTAAGATCAAGTAAAACTAGCAATGAGATGCAGCCTTGGTCTGATGCAAGAAGCAAGTCATTTGTAATTTTAACTAGTGCAGTTTCTGTGCTATGGTGGGAATTTCTATGAAATTCTTCATAGAGAGAATTTTTTTGCAGAAAGGAGCCCAATTGAGCAGACACAACTTTTTCTAAAATTTTAGACATAAAAGGAAGATTTGAAATGGGTCTGTAATAATGAAGCTGAAGTATTATACGCTGTAGAATCTACATTTGTTATTGTATTTCTGATGTTATCTATTTTATCAGTGAAGAAATTCATAAAGTCATTACTATTAAACTGTGAGGGAATATTTAGATCGGGTGGCGTCTGGTTATTTGTTAATCTAGCCACTGTGCTAAATAAAAACCTTGGATTGTTTTGGTTATTTTCTATGAGTTTGTGGATATGCTCAGCCCTGGCAGCTTCTAATGTATTAGTAGGGATGTAACGATTCACTCAACTCACAATTCGATTCGATTCACGGTTTTGATTTCACGATTCGATTTGATTCGATTCACGATTATTATAATTTTTTTAACAAAATGAGATTTAAGACAAATTATAAATTAAATGTGTCCTTTTATTATTGCTTGGACAAAATTCTGCACATTTATTTGTGAAATTGAAATATAACACTATAATAATATCGCACTTGCATATTACTGCTCTTTTGTTGGTTTTAATTGCTTATATTGTCCTCATTTGTAAGTCGCTTTAGACAAAAGCATCTGCTAAATGACAAAATTTAAATATAATGTAAATGTAAATAACAAAACTACATTGAAATTTTAAAACAAGCCCCAGATCAAATAAACAAGTAACACAAATAAAATAAATCCTCTGTCTGCCGCAGCTTGGTGCCGTTAACCCCCGCGTGAAGCACGACTGCTCCGGTGCTCTCGTCGCCCTTCAGGATCACGGGTAACTGCTCAGAAACATCGAGAACATGAGTACCAGGGAAACAGTGAGTGTGCACTTTACCTTCAGCTAACGTAGCACGGACGTGCCGGACGATGGAGTCTCCGACGATCACAGCGTTGTGCTCTGTCTCGTGGAGGGGGGAGAGGTCGTTGCCCAGGGCCTGGCTCGCGTCTTCCGCTGCGGGCCTGTGCAGAGAAACACACGGAGTAGAGGTGGTGGGAGAGTTAGCAGCGTGCGTATACTTACCCTGTACTTGTGAGCGTCAGCCCGGGATGTTTCCAGCACGGCTCTCCTCTCTCTCAGCTGGGTCTGCTTCTCCACCAGGTCACGGATCTGCTACATAGACATTGTCCTTTGCCTGTATTTTCTTATTTGAATCTTCTACTGCTGGCTCATTTCTGGGCTGCAACCTTTATCCAGAGGGTGTGTTGTCTGTGTCTTAAGCTCGGGAAGCTCCACTAATTTGTAATGTCTTGACACTAAAACAATTTACTAATGTTACTATTGCCTTACTAACTTCTATCTGTAACTTGGCAGATTGCTATGCATTGTAATTACATTTTTATGATTACACAATTGTTGTTTATTGGCGAGCTAGCCTGAAGACAGCCCACTCGCAAATTACAGCCAGTCATCTAATTGAACGCAATATTTAAAACAATATTTGCAAAACACCTCATCGTTTGTCTTCCCATAAATAGTCCGCTTTTGACTTGCTGCAGGTTGAGCTGTGTGTGTTCTGGTAACTGATATCATGTCAGGGGCAGGGGTATACACTTCTGAATGTGTTGAGCCTGTTCACGAGGAGGAACAAGGTTTGAGGTTTGAATATTGTTTACAAACAGTAACTGAAAATCCTACATAGTTCCGCATTAATCATCTGACACGATGATCGTTGTCGCGGGCGATGTGCTGCGGTTCTCGATCAAGCTCCTGAAGTCCCTCTTCAGTGTCTCCGTCTGCCGCAGCTTGGTGCCGTTAACCCCCGCGTGAAGCACGACCGCTCCAGTGCTCTTGTCGCACTTCAGGATCGCAGGTATCTGCGCAGAAACATTGAGAACATGAGCACCAGGGAAATAGTGAGCGCCGAATGCAGCTCGAACGTGTCCTCACCTGCACTCAAAGGTAGACACACATCCACCATTAAACAAGTAACAGTGAGTAAAACAATGGTAATGTGTGTGAATAGAGTATTAGCAATGTAAGCGAGATTAGCGGAAACCACGCTGGCAATGCTAATGGGCTATATGCTAATAGCGAACTTGGGAAATCAAAATATAACTAGTGATAACAAGGCGCTCTGATTGTTTTTGTTGTAGAATACGATAGGGGATATATTCACACGTTATAGAAATGAAAATTATGGTGTATAAAATTGATTTTAAGATAAAAAAAATAGACGATAAAGAATTAACTTGACGGAGCTCAAACTCAAAACACACGGCAGCAACAAACAGGAAGTGACATTTCAGGAACAGGAAGATTGATTCAATGGTTGATTCATTCAGGAATGAAACACCATCCTGTTGCTCAGAGATGCAAATTGGAATTATATTTGTTTGCGAAATAGAGAAAAAACAGTCAATTGTGTCTAACGTAAGTGTATTTACTTCTTGTTTATTGAACTGCTGTATAATGTCTTCGCGTGATACTGATTAACAAAATGAAATGATATAAATACTGTATATACATTTCTGCCCCCATATCTTGAATTTTGTGATCTTTCTAAATGCATTTTAATAAACTGAATCATGCAGTGAAACAACACGCACTGGTCTAAACTACTAGACTTCCTATTGCCTTAGCTAAACTTTAGATAACTTACAAGATAGCTGAGTCATGGATGTTAACAAGACAAATTAACTATATTTGCCTTTTGTCTTTTGGATAATTAGCTGTAAATTCGAGGCACAGGTAGCTCAGTTTTTTGTTCATCACCACTCACCTCCACAGTAAGACAAACACAACTGGAAAGGGAGGGAGGGCTTCACTTCTGTGGTTCTCTGCCTGTGACTGTGATGTGATGTGGTGATCAATGTGTGCTACACTGCTGTGCTGCGGAGACGCGGATTGGAGAAAGGCATTGGAACTCGACAGTCTCAACATTTCCCGACCCGACCATATATTTAGATTTTTTAATTGTTTGACAGGGAATGCTGTGCGTGCAAACATAAACACACACATGCGCATATACACGTTTGATGATCTGAATCTTTTAAGTGACAAATATGCAAAAAATAAAAAAAACAGGAAGGGGTCAAAAACCTTTTCACGGCACTGTATATTCATTTATATATTCATTTATTAAAAAAATAAAAAAATAAATACTCCCCAGAAGAAAAGGGCACTTTCTCTTGAGGAAGAAAAAAGGGCAGGTGCTAAAGCCCCCTTTGATGTCTATGTGTGCACATGCCTGATCTAGAATAAAAGCAGTTCATTTAGTAAGGTTACCTG